GTATAAGTATTATGAGTACTACAATGCACAACACAACTACGGGAGGGACTAGTGAACCTTGATCTTGGAGTTTACTTAACGAATTTGTATAATAATTCATAGAATCGTTTAATAAACATCAATTAAATAAACGCACAATATACTACAACTAGACTTTTTGAGCTGTACCTACATATTAAATTACCAAAATTATTATAAATTCTTCTAAATTGAAATTATAATAGGACAACACGATTTTTATCATGGCGACGTTAAACCAATATATCATTACAATATTAATTGACAATTATACATTCCATGTATCTGATATACATATGTATAGATATACACGGTTTTTTTAATTAACAAAATTTAACATTAATGTACATAATATATAATATGTTAAGGATAAAGTACGAAAATCGGGTAATGTACACATTATTCAACATGCCTATTCGATAAATTAAAAACATTATTTGTAAAACATTTATTTTGAACATTATTTACCTTTTTGAGTGGATAACTCAAGAGAGAGCAAAACGTTTAGCAATTGTGTCTATCAGAGATAATCATTACTATGAATTCGGAAATGAAAATGACAAATTTCTTTAACTTTATTCAAAAAATCAATTTTTTGAATATTCTGAACCGTTGATAGATATTTTAGAAATGTCGCCTACAATTAAATCATTGAGTGAAATAGCTAATGCACATTGCACAATATATTTCTGGTGGTTAAGATTTTAAACATGTCTGTGTAAAATGCAAATTTTTTCAAATTAATGTAAATTAACTTAAATCTGTTGGGATACTTTGTAACTCCGAATTCAAACCGAATTTGAACTGTTCCAATTATTAATAACTGTACATATACCTAATTAATTTTTCAAATATTTTTATATAATATTAAATAATAACTTCATAATAGGTATCTACTGAATTTACTTACTAAATAATTTTTTTCGGATTAATATGATTTGGTTTTTTTCTAATTCATGATTTAACCGTAGCACACTGGATAATGCATACATTGTATCTATTTAAGGTGGATATTGTATACATTATACTGTTTATATATGGATAAAGTGTACATTAACCGATTAATGTGTACACTACCCATTTTCTTACTACACCCGTAACATATATAATATAATATTTTTTTTTTTTTTTTTTTATTGGTTAAGCATCAACTACATAGGTTATTAGCTTACAGGTGTTATTTCTACATTAAATAATTATATGGTATTGTGCAATTCAATTTTTTTTTAAAATAAAATTATGTTATGAAAGTTTGAAAATGGACCAATTGCTTCGTACAGGTTGTCTGGGATGTTGAGATCTTTTCTAGCGTCGTTGAAGTTTGGGCAGTGGATGATGATATGCTTGATGGAGTAGTTTGTATTGCATGTTGGGCATAGGGGTGGATCTGTCTTTGCCATAAGATGTCCGTGTGTGAGTTTCGTGTGACCGATTCTGAGTCGATTGAGAATTACTTCATTTTTTCTGTTTAGTTCAGTGTATTTCGGCCAGAGTTCGACAGAGTGCTTAATTTCTCTCAATTTATTTTCCGGGGTCGTGTGCCACTGTGAGTTCCACAAATCAATACAGTATTTGTTTATATTTCTTTTTATATCTACGAGTGAGGAAAAAGGAATATTTTCACTGTCTGGACTATTGACTGCATTTCTAGCCGCTTCGTCTGCCTTCTCATTTCCCTTTATGTTACAGTGACCTGGGGTCCATATAAATCTGATTTCTTTATTTGATTTGGAAAGAAGGTTGCTGATTGAAAGAGCCAATGGTTCTGATAAGGTTTTGGATTGTAGATTTGCTAAGGCACTGAGTGAGTCAGAGCAAATATCGATTTTAGTATTGTTGATATCTAGGGCAAATTGAACTCCTTTCAATAATGCTAGGTATTCAGCTGAATAAATACTGCTTAATTTATTGAGTTTGTACTGTTTAGTTACATTGAGGTGTACTACTGCAAGTCCTATGCCCATTTCAGTTTTCGATGCATCAGTATAGATCTGAGTGCTAGTATTTGAAGTGTGTATTAATTCATTAAATAGGTTATTATAAATAGTATTTGGTGTTTCTTTTTTAAGGTGTTCTGTTAAGCTAGTATCAACTAGGTAATTTGGTTGTTTCCAGGTGGGTATCAGACTGCTTTCGCGTTGACATATTTCATTAATTTCAATGTTGATATCCATCATCTCTTTTTGTAGCCTTAGCCCTAATGGTTTTCTTAGTTTAGAATTGTGTTCATATATATTTGAAAAGCGCTTTTTGTTTAAAAAGTGAATGGTTGAATTTTCCGGTGAAGAAAAGATGCGAGCTATATAATTAAGAGATAATTTAGTTCTTCGGTGCTGAAGTGCGGGTTCACCAGTCAAGGATAACAAACTAACAATCGGGCTGCTTTTGAATGCTCCAATTGAAAATCTCAGTCCGGCATTGTGGATTGTATCAACAATTTGTAAGAGCTTTGATTCTGAGTTTCCGTAACAAATTGAACCATAATCGAGTTTGGATCTTACGAGCGATCTATATACATTTAATAATATGGTTCCTTCAGCGCCCCATTCACAATGACTTAATGATTTGATGACATTAAGGCTTTTATATGAATTTTTTTTTAGTGACATAATATGGGATTTCCAAGAAAGCTTTTTATCGAAAGTGAGACCAAGTATTGAAATGTCTTCAACAAAGGGTAAACGAGATGTACCTAGAAAGAGTTTTGGTTTCGTTAGTTTCCTTTTATTCGAAAATAAAATACATTTTGTCTTTTGAGGCGAAAAAATGAAACCGGCTTTGAAGCACCATTCAAACAGGTCATTGAGGCATTTTTGGAGTGTTCCGGTCATTACAGAAATTTGAGTACCTCGAATATATATGTAAGTGTCGTCTGCAAAAATAATTGATTTTACAGGGTTTGTGATGATGCTGGGCAGGTTGTTAATTGCTGTTTGAAATAAAGAAATGCTGAGTGGAGAGCCTTGAGGCACTCCATTTTCTAACATGAAAGTATTTGATGTTTGATCTCTAATTTTAACTTGGAAAGATCGTTGGTTTAGGAAGTTGGTTAGGAAGATTAGCATGTTTCCATGTATGTTCCAATTCTTTAGTAAATTGATTACTCTATGTCGCCAAACCGTGTCGTATGCCTTTTGTAAATCGAGACTTATTAGTATCATTGATTGTTTATTGGCGAAGGTTTCTATGACTTCGGTTTCAATTTTTACGTGGCAGTCGGTGGTTGAGTGGTGTTTTCGAAAACCATGTTGACATGGTGAAAGGAGTTTATGATGAGTTGCGTACCAACTTAGTCGGTTGTAGATAATTTTTTCTAATAACTTGCTCATGCTGCAGAGTACCGATATTGGTCGATATCCTGTAGGTTTAAAGCTGTTTTGATTATTTTTTGGTATGGGTGTGATGATTGCATTTTTCCATTTAATCGGGATTAAGCCTGTTTCCCAAATTAGGTTGTAGAGACGTAGTAGAAGAAACTTTCCATTAGAAGGTAGGTTTTGTAAGAATATGAATGGAATTTTATCGGATCCACAACTTTTGCTTTTATTTCCACGGAGACAAAATTCAATTTCAGGCATGGTAATTGGTTCATTTAAACTGTCGCCTAGGCCAATATTGGGTAATAGATTAGTTGTGGTATCAATTTCATTTTCTTTTTCTTGTTTAAACTTGAGAAAATCGTGGGTTAATGAAAGGTTGCTGCTGTTAGTATAGAAATATTGGCCGATTGATTGGGCTATTTCATGAGGTTCCGTAAGTATAGAATTTTCAGATAAAATGGTTTTTATTTGAGACGTGGGAATGCCTTTAATGACTTTAATTTTTTTTCCAAATGTTGGTTGTCGACTCATTGCTGTTAAGGTCTGTCGTAAATTTTATCCAAGATTTTTTTTTTTCGTTTTTTATTAAATACCGGACTAATGCTTTGTATTTTTTAAATTCGATAAAATCATTGAAATCATTTGTGCGTTTGAATTTATTGAAGGTAGTTTTTTTGTTCCTTATAGCATGTTTGATGGTTTTATTCCACCATGGTACTGGTGGTCGTTTCCCAGAGTAACTATTTTGTTCAAAAATATTGGATGCCGTGTTATAAATTAAATTACTGAGTTCCTCCATAGTATCCTCTACATCATTATTATTTAAAAAAGAAAGGGAACGATTAATTATATTTTTTTCAATTTCTGCTTGGTAGGTATCCCAGTTGGCATTTTTCAGTTTCCATTTAAGACTACGAGTGTGTTTTTCGTCAGGGTTGGTATACTTCAAGGTTAGTTTAATTGGAAAATGGTCGCTACTAGAAAGCTCAGGCATTGTGTTCCATTCAAAATGAGGTGTAATAGTTGACGAAGAAAAAGAGAGATCAATTGCCGAGAGGTTTCCTGTACTAGCGCTTATTCTTGTTGCTTGACCGTTGTTGAGAATATTGATGTTGTTGTTGTTATCGAGTATTTTTTCTATAATTCTTCCTCTTTGATCAGTGTCGTTGCAGCCCCACAAGATATTGTGACTGTTGAAGTCACCCAGAATTATAAAAGGCGTAGGTAGTTGGTCGATAATGTTTTGGATGTCAGTGTAACTGAGGATCTGCGAGTTAGGTATGTACAAATTACAAATAGTTAGTTTATATTTGACAGAAATTCTTACTGCTACTGCTTCTAGGTTTGTGATAAGGGTGATTTCTTCAGAGGGATATTGTGTATTGATAAAGGTGGCCACTCCTCCACTAGCCCTAATATGGTTGGTTCTGTTTTTGAAAAAGTTTACATAATTTTTTAAAGACCCTGATTTGTTATCGATGAAGTTGGTTTCTTGTATACATAGAGCTACTGGAGAGAACCTGTTGATTATTAGTTTTATTTCGTCGATTTTTGAGTAGAATCCATTAGGATTCCATTGGATGATATGAAAGATGTTATTATTCATGGTTGGTTTGAATTATTTATTTGGTATATGTTGTTTGTATAAGGGTTGATGGTTTACTAGAAGGTTTCATCATCATCCCCGTCAGGATCCGCGTTCTGACAGGCATTGAAGTCTTGAATTATTTTTTTCAATGCATTAGATAATCTGGTTAGACGATTTTTAGCGCTTTTAACTGTTACATTAGGGTAAATAGTTGAAATAATTTCTAAAATATCATCTGGACTACAAGCGTATTTGTTACATAAATTTTCGAGATCGGAGCAACCTTTTGAACTTTCGAAGAAATCTCTAAATTGGTCAAAGGTTAAAGAAAAATCCAGGTGTGTGTCAAACAGATCTCGAGTGGAATCAAAACATTCATCAATATTTGTATGTACTGTATCACTGGAGATGGAATTGGTCCTTACTTTTAGTTTTTTGCTTACACTACCTTTGGGGTTTTTGGATTGTTGGGTTCGACCATCAAGTGTGTTGCTGCCAGGAGGCTTCATTGTTGATTGAGGAGGAGGGCTAGATGGTTGAAACGATTTTGGTGATGGAGGCTGAGACGCAGATGAGGTAGAAGGAGCTGGACGTTTGGCTGGCTGAAGAGGCGGTACTTTGGTTCTATGGTTAGCAGTCAATTTAAGTTTGTCAATCAGTGAAGGTTTATTTGGCTGTTCATATGAAGTAATAATATCTTTGTCAACCACTTGGTCTAATAATACACTTTCACTATCCTGGGTGTTATGATAATTTTGAGTACTGACAATAGGTAACGAGGAAGATAAGTTATTATCTTCAATTGTAGTTGATGATAAATCAATAAGGGTTTCCGTTACGGTTTCAGTCTCATTAATGACATTAATTGGATCAGGTATATTTTTGCATTGGCTAGAAAAATGACCAGTTTGGTGGCATTGGAAACAAGTTACGATATCATCAGTGATAAATATTCTGAACGTAGTGTTCTCTACGGTTACGGTGATTGAGTTAGGTAGTTTGGTCGCGCTATCTTGATTTATGTATATTTGTCTTCTGAAACTAAGTATGTGTGAAAATTGCTCTGTAGCGAATCCAGCTTTCATGTGTGTAATTTGCGACGTAGTTTTGATTCCTAGTTGATGGAGAGCGTTTAATATGAGTTGATTGGGAATGGTAGGGTAAACATTTGATAAAATGATTCTCTTAGAAGCGTTAATAAGTCTTCGAATAGGAATATCAATACCATTGACGTGAATTGATGAATGAGTTTTTAGTAAATTTTCCATAACGGTTTGGCTGTTAAAAAAGACGCAAAATCTGTTGTTGGAAATACGCGAAACAAATATGATATTCTCAGCAGGTACGATTTTACTGATTGCCGATACATATTCAATTTGTTTAATGTTATTGATGGAATTGAAAACGATTGCTTGGTTCATTTTCGGTAAAGTGGTATTTGAAGCTATCTCTGCAAATGTTTGATTGTTAAGTGTGTGTTGAGAAGGACTGTTGGTGTTGTTCATATCGTTAGTGGAAATAGGCTTATCGCCCATTGTTGGGATATTATTTAATTGGTGTTACTAATGCAATAAAGATAAACATATTACCTGCACGTTGATTGTACGGGTGTATACTGCTATCGAAAGCTATAAATGCGATAATATGCGAAACAGACGTGTAGCACGGTCGGGCAGTGAACACGAACTGGATATAATATTATGTGATGATAAAAACAATATATTTACCTTTTAATGTAAATTTTTTTATATAACTGTTTACTTTTTCAGCGTATTCATTAAATTTCATATTTTATCTATTATACCGTGTATGTGGTTGTTAGTTCCATTGAAGGTCCCTATAAAAAAAATTCACAGCAGCGATATATTATAACAAATTATGAAAGACAGTAATCAGAAGTGGTTCATATTGCATCAGATGTATCAGTATATTTTTTTCCAGGTCCACTACCCAGTAGACAAATATACACATACTATTTATACTATTAGTATAATTGGTATACATTAATTTATATTGTAATAATTATAAATATAAATATGTTACATAATGCCTATGTGTATTAGATGATCTCTACATTATGTACGATCAACTGTTAACCGATACAATAATATTAACACACACATAATTGTAAGGCTTATGGCCTACACAAAACATGTATAAATAAGTGAGTTCGTTTTGCACCTTAGACCTCAACACACAACAAATACCAAACTCCGTATGACTACGATACAGTCACATAGTAATAGTATGATAAGACGTATTTGTGACTATTATTATTTGTAAGTGTTTAATAGACAATAAAACTTAATAATAACTGAAATGGAATCATCCTAGCTAGTTATTCAAACATATTTAAGATTCTGATATCTACATTCTACATATCTGCCCCTGGCTATGGTAATTATATCTATAGGATCCTACGACTCTCTCTGAGTATTCTTATATTTAACTAGTCGTTTCCCCATGATATTTCGTTTCAACCGGATAATATAAAAGTGATATTTTTTGTATTAAAATAATATACCTGCAAGTTTTGAAACGTCGTGTGAAATAAGTACGTATGACCCTATAATATTATACTTTGCAGGGTCCCAAGGTTTCAAGGAATGGGGAAATAATACTCAGAATTTAACTGTTATCGTCAACTTAATCATAATGGAATATTGTATTAAAAAAAATTATATATAATATATATATATATATATATATATGTATTAATATCACAAGGGAATGTTTTTGGTACTATATACATTATACACTTCAAACGCACAAAGATTTATGAGCGTAATAAATAATATGCATTTTTTAGTTGTCTTATTGTATATGTTAGTTCGAGATACTCTCGCGTAGTGTATATGCAGCGTGCTGATAAGGAGCATATTATGACTATCGAAATAATAATATAAATTGGTTACGATAGGTAAGAGACCGTTTTTCAAGTGATTCAATTTCGGGTCTTGCTGTGGTTAGATGGGGACGGGGTCATCGGATATACTCGGTTATTTTGGAAACTTGCCCATTGTGTCCTTACCCTCCTCGGCCTAATTTAATTCAAAGGTTAAACGCTGCCAGGAGATATTCACCGTCGGATTTTCGGTAAATATTTATGTATATATAAATATGTATTTATATATATACACTAATGGTATGGTTTTATATTTTGGTTATGGCAGGTTTATATTATTGCACTTCCCACCTGAATGTTATTGTTCTAAAAGATATAATAGTAAAAATTTATGGTTAGCGAAATAAAGAGTTCTGGCAGTGTCATTTATAGTGGACTTTTACGTTTTTTCCCTCCGATATACTACACGAATCGAGTAAAATTTGTAGTGTCTCTTTCCTCAAAAAAAAAATAAATATTTATAATAATATGATATAAGGTATAATATATTAAGTAAGTACGAATAAATTTAGAATTCCATCTACGTCTACGATTTCCAGAAGTTACGTCGTATTGTATTATATAATTAAAAAAAAAAAATCATGATCGATATTATTCCATCCCAATTTTGAGTACTTATACTTTATTCGTATTCTTAATTAATTGAAATGAGTAATTAGTTTTTGATTTCCATAGCGGATAAAGAGACCAGTAAGGTAGTAAGCAAAGAACACTCAACATTATTAAACTATAATATGAAACCGTCTTAACATTCATAATTGTGCCCGAAAAAAATGCCAAAATTAATTAGTGGTTATTTGTACTAACCAAAATACTTCTTGGGTAAAACACGTAGTATCTATTATGTAATACATAATATTATAGTACCTACAGTAACAAATGAAAATTTGAAATACAATTTAATAACATAATTTAATACATCAATATACATCTCTGTAATAGTAATACAAATCATTTCCACAGTCATAATTATATGTCTGGAAAAAAAAAAATTGTACAAAAATGATATATTTTTTACTATAGCAACATAGTTATGTATAGTAAAATTAAATATAAATAATACGTGTAATATATTCAACCAATAACCTGAAGTATCTAAAACGTCAAACACGTCTACTCACTAAATTTTTATGTTAATCATTTTCTAATCGAAACATCAGATTTAATAGCCAATATCTAATATAAATAACATTTCTGATTAACGAATTATTATTATATATATATATAGGTATTCGGGGACCTCGATAAAAATTAACGATTGTATAAATAAAAATATGTCTTAGGTGAAACTCATAGTTGAGAACTTATTATACGTCAGTGCGGACAAAATATCACGTTATAAATTCCATTTTTTTTTTTTTTTTTTGAATATCAGGAATATAATAATTTTGCTATGATATGAATAAATTGACAGTATTATTTTTTATTATTTTTAGGATAAAAAGAACCGCTTCTCCATGTTGTTTCTTACACACATAATATTATTATGCAAGTGGTCCTCGAAAGACTAACGTCGGTGTTTTCTTTGATAATAAAGTAATACTAGGTACCTATATATTTTTTAAAAGGTTAGCCAGCAGTCAGTCATTGAGTCATTGGACATTGTCGGAGAAAAACATTATTATGTGTATGAAATAATTGAAAATAGATGATAATATTATGATAATATATTATTATGATATGATAACATTCTCTTGATTTTATACCTCATCATTTCTAATAAATATAATATATATTTATATTTTATCGATATTTCGAATAGAATAAGACTATCAGATACATTATAATTTAACACCACAGATTGAGATTATTCCACTTCGTTTGAATACATATTACATATATCTATATTATACGATTCGTCTTTTAGGCCTTTGACGAATATAACAAGGTTCGAATATGTGGTGTGTCGAGTACATGTTCGCAAATAAAAGTCTTGTTTACCATCAAATTCTAAGCTTAAATCACCAATACTGTTAAACGGGTTTAGGGTTACCAATCCAGTTATTATAATATTGTGAAACCGCTCGAATGCATACACATTTAATCTGTGAACATTTATAATTTTCTTCAATTAATATTATTTTTTTTTTATAGACAGTCACATTTCTTCATTTTTGTATTTTTTACAAAAGTATAATTTTTTTTATATTGTTTTATATTTTAATAGCTTATCCCGTGCACTTTATTGCCCAGCAACCAATAATTATTACTTCAAAAACCCATGGCAACCATTTATAAACAAAAATTTCCATCGGAAATCTCAAAATCCCTGTTTGAGCACCTCCCGGGGCTTGTCCTCTCTCTTTTTAAATTAGCCTATATTTTGCCCAGAAGTCTAATCCATCTATGTACCAAATGATCCCGTGCACTTCGTTGCCCAATAAAAATGCCAACTCTTTATGAATAATATGTTTTACATATTACTATGCCAACCATTTATCTACAAAAAATTCCATCTGAAATCTCTAAATAATATATAAATGGTTGTCATGGGAATATGGATAAACAGACAGACAGACATACATTAATTTTTATATGTATAGATAATAATTATTTAAAAATCTGTTATAAAATCCTTTAGGTACTATTGTATATTATAATATGTATGCGTCAATAAATACAGTAATATTAATAGCAGCGAAATAGAACAATAATGTGTTTAGAGTACCTATATTACCTATTCAACTACTGAGGAAACTTTATAAAATAGTTTGTTGGATTCTGAGAGGAATGAGGAAACTATAAACGAGAATTGAATAAAGTGTCAAACAAATATTTTGTTGATTATTCATTCACCATTGTTACCTTAACACTATAGGAACACTAACAAAATATTCATAGGTCACATACCAAGTGTGTAGTGTTGCAATATTTTATTTTACTTATTCCAGGACAAACATTTTTGTATAATTTTCATGGAAAAAATCTTAGCACTAGTCTTAACATCCTATTATTTCGTTACTAGACTACCACTCACAATATATGGCACTATTTGACATAGGACATACCATTGTTAAGGAAAAACCACCTTTATGTTAAAAATCACAGAATGAGTAATAAGTAATATCTGACAAAATTATCAATATTAGTGATAAGTGTTAACCAAAGATCGGATTTAATTGATGTTGCACCTTTTTTTCTGACAAGATGATCTGATCAAATTTTATACAGCCCAATTATATTCTATCTATATTATATATTCTGTCCGTTTATTTTATACTGAATTTTTTTGAAATTGTATGTGATTTTTATGAAATTAAATTATTAGTGATCATCACAGATATTTTGTGTAGAAAGTGGTATAGACAACTAACGTATTCGTTAATAAATTTGTCATCACCGAGCACGGAAATTATTTCATAATTATTAAGTTCATAATTTAATCTTCAAGTATTCAACTTGATTATTGTACCATTTATCAAAACGATATTGTTTTTCTCCTAATGATGTTCATATGAGATAAAATGTTATCACAAATTATTGAAGGTTGATGTCGGGACAATTGTCCGTACCGATATACTTTATCAAAAGACCGAGACTCTGTATAAAAAAAATTGGTAAAACCTATATAATATGGCAAAAATAGATCACAGCTCCCTGTTAACCTTATATATTCTCTAGTCGCTATGAACGTCGTCATAAGTCGTTTTTCGAAAGTGGGAGGGGGGCTAAGATATTTTTTTTATAAATAAAGCTCTTAAATTTAATATATTGTAATAATATCATATTATATAAGTCTAAAATGTACAAATTATTAAGTATTTCATTAAATTATTGCTCTTTTCTGCTAATATAATATAGTATAAATAATAAAATAGCATAAATGTTGGCAAAACAAAATTATGAACCTAGGAAGGGCAATTGCTGCGTCTTTCCTCTCCATCCTCGGGACGCCCATGTGTGGACGTAGTTATCAATGTTATCTTGAGTTGTGTATATTTTAAGTGTAATTAAGATCTCACAGCGTCCAGGTTTTTAAAGTCTGTCGCATTGTCACGAAAATTATTATCGGGATTTCGATAAGGACTAGAGAGGTATCTGGTATGTCCCAGAAATGTATTTCATTATTATAAATTAGTATTTTACCCGTTTTTGACATACACGTAACTCGGAATAACTAAATTAAATAGATACATAGTTTTTTTAGCCTTATGATGCGTTTAAATTATTATATATAATATATATACAACAGTGTTGCTTTGTGATTTCCGTAAATTCACACTTGTTCCAGGAAATTTCGGGTTTTCCGACAAGTTGCACGTTCCCGGAAATTATCTATCCATAAACGGTAAGGTTTGTTCGTTTCAATTTTTATTTATTAAAATACCGTTTCCGAGCGATCTGCTGAGAAAATATACGAACAATCGACGACGCGTACTATATAAAATAATAAATTATTATTATCATTACTAACGGGTCGAAAAGACGTATTATATACTACTATTATATACGTACCTACTGTAATACTCACTAACGTCGTATATTATATCGTATACAGTCAGCTCCCAAGCGTTTAAAAGGTAGAGACAGTGAAAGTTATATATATTATTATAATATTCACTATTGTATCGTTATAAAACGTAGTCAGCAGGGTTCGTAGGGAAAACAATTAAATGAAAAAAACAGTTTTACATCGAACCCATTGTCTTTTCATAAACTATAATAATTCCGCATAGTTGATTTGTGTCTCCCTCGAATTCCTACTTGTCCAGAAAATTTCGAGGATTCTCGGCAAATGGTGTGTATTCGGAATCGGCTGTCCCTAAACGGCGGGGTTTATTCATTAAATTTTTTTCATTAAAATGCCGTTTCCCAGCGATACCGTCCCTCAAATATACGAACAATTGACGTGCGTTCGACGACCGAGATTTGTGTATTCACATAATATAACATAAATAATATTAAATATAATATAAATTTTTTCTAATGTACATTGTACGTATCGCTATAATGCGCTCTAAGTTGTATATATATATAATATCATATAAAGTCAGCTTGCTGGCGTTAAATATATATTTTATCCTCGAGTGATAGCTAATGGAAGTTATATATTAAATAATATGTAATATAATGTAGGCCATATTATACACTATATTATAGTATCACCATAAAACGTAGGTAGGGGGACGGGATCGTCGGAATGGAAAAAAAATAAATGAGAGAAAAAACACCGTTTTACATCGAACCCATTGTCTTTGGGGTTATATGAATTATTTTACAAAACGGTTTATGGTTTTCGGTCTTTCTCGTCGATCGCCTGGTAGTTTCGTATCCGCAGCAGTCGAACCAATCAGCGACATCCGTGAGTATACCCTACACACATACACGCACATATATATTACAATGTTATTATTATTATCATTATTGTGTGCGCTTCGACCGCACGAACGTTTGCGGTCGTCGATGCTCGTCTCGTCGATATACGACGTGTAAAAAACGGTTTTTGGGTCCGTCCGGTAAGGTTCATTATAATAGGTATATAATACTTTTACAGCACATAATATTATACCTATATATGGTATGTATATCACACGGCGTGTATTATTACATAGGTATAATCATCTTTCACCAGAAACGTTCAGACACGGACGGCCTCGCGTCCGCCTCCGCGCCGCGCGAATAGGTGTCGGCCCGTATAACACTAACATAATATACATATAATATTGTTATAATAGTATATAGGTTGTAAGTATTATAACGTTGTGTGTAGGTACGTTATAGTTTTTACCGGAGTCGTTAAAAAATAAAAATATTGTACTTCTCGGTTTGGTCGTCTGCTGCTGCAGGTTTAGCGGACCAAAGCGATGCAGCTTGCGGCTCTCCGCCGCCGTAGCAAGTATAGGTATTATAATATATATAAATACTGTGCCAGCGGACCGTGTCGACTGAGCTATGAATGTATAATATATATATATATATAAATTCGTTTAATGTAATATAATAGTCGACGTTAAATTTCAATATAGTATATTAAATAATGTATTTTATACGGTGACACGGTTTTGTCTCTCTGCGCTTATTCGTTTCGTGCGCGAAATGAATTAGGTTTTTTTCGTGTCGGTAGGGTTTTAATTAAACAAAGTATTATAAAGCGAGAAAACCGCGATAAAACGTAGAAAAAAAAAACATAACAATAAAATATAAGAACATCACCCTACGATATTGTCGGATTTGGTCTTATTTTTTCGGGTCTCCTCGACGCCGCCGCCGTCGCCTAGCATTTTTAATGAAATACCATTGTTCCTCGGCGGCGTTTGCCGAATAAATTGCTCGCGGACAAGAGCCATATGAAAAACGGTATGCGCAGACGCCACGGCGCGCGAGGGCGAAAATAAGAAGGAAAAAATACGTTGCCGCGCTTTAACGACCGACGGAAACGGAAAATAATAAAATGGAATTGTATTGTTTTTGGCAGTTGCTGGAATTAAAAAAAAATAAAAGAAGAGAATAATAATAATAATAATAATAATAAACCTAGTAGAATACTAGCACCCCCTTCTACTGCACAATATACTATTTATATATATATACACTGTGGGTGGCTGGCTACACTGCAGAAGTGTGTCCGTATTACAATGCGTTCGTCGTGTACTCGTGTCACCATTTTAACCCAAAAATTAGGACAATAATACTAATATACCTCCATAAACGTATTGGGTGGGTTGTGCCGTATTAAAAACGCGTTCGATCCTCTCGCCACGCCGTACCTAACCTATAGTGAACGCCTCCCCTTGTTTTCTGTAGCTCATAAGTATTATGAGTTAATTTCTAAAATACATACAGTTTACTCACAGGAACTCAACAACAAAAACCTTAAACACCGATAAACATTGAGGTTTCCAATTTAATAATTTGAAAAATATTATGTGCATTTTTGAACTATTAAGTAACAATAATATCATTATTTTAAGAAAGATAGAAGACACAATTTAATTGTGGGTTTTTTGTAAATATATGTTTTTAAACGCAGAAAATGCTATTTTAGAAAAATCTAATAATAATTTTAATAAACCTTGTAAAATACAAAAGCACAACAATTATATATATATATATACACTTATTGTTTCAGTGTGTTCATATTACAAGTCTTGTACTCGTGTGGCCATTTTAACCTGAAAATTAGGATAATAGTAGGAAAATAATTTATAGTAATAGGTAAATCTATTATATAAAAATAAGTCCGGTTTTCCTCCCTGACGCTATAACTCGAGAACGCACGAACCGATTTCCACGGTTTTGCATTCGTTGGAAAGGTCTTGGGCTCCGTGAGGTTTATAGCAAAGAAAATTCTGGAAAATTCAGGAAAAATTCAACAGAAAAGTGGGGAAATCGTTTTTTACATACAGCGCCATCTATTATACATAGCATGTACTTCAAACCAATAGCAACGGTCTACACGACATTGTGACGACACAGATGGTGCATGGACCGTGCGGTGCATTAAATCCATTATCGCCTTGCATGGCTGATGGAAAGTGCACAAAACGATATCCGCGACCGTTAGTTGCTGAAACAGTCACAGGGAACGATGGATATCCAGTTTATCGTCGGCGTTCAAAAGAAGATAACGGTCGAACTATCAAAGTTAAAGTTCAAAATCAAGAGATTGAGATCGGAAATGAATTCATTGTACCATATTGCCCGCTGCTATCACGAATTTTCGAAACACATGCAAACGTTGAGAGTTGTCATTCGGCCAAATCAATCAAATATTTGTGCAAGTACGTCACAAAAGGCAGCGACATGGCTGTGTTTGGTATTGCGTCGGAAAATGTGAATGACGAAATCAGCAACTTCCAAATGGGCAGATACGTCAGTACTAATGAAGCACTGTGGCGATTATTGTCATTTCAAATTCATGAAAGATATCCCACAGTTGTACATTTAGCCGTGCATTTGGAAAATGGCCAAAGAGTTTACTTCACTGAGGCTAATGCGGCACAACGAGCTGAGAGACCACCATCGACAACATTGACTAGCTTCTTTGCAATGTGTGAATCAGATCCATTCGCAGCGACGCTGTATCGCGACGCAAGTGTCTTGAGTAGACACTCAATTAGTTCTTATTGAAAATGTTTTCCCAAACATTAGTGAGAATTATAAGAATTATGCTTGGTTAAGTCAACGAGCAATTCTTGCAGCAAAGAATAATGATGTCCACGCACTGAATTTCACCATTCAATCAAAAATTGCTGGCGATTTGGTGACATACAAATCCGTTGATTCAATAACAAATCCCGATGATGTAGTAAATTATCCAACGGAGTTTTTGAACTCTCTGGAGATACCAGGATTTCCACCACATAACTTGCAACTGAAAGTTGGTACAGTTATTTTGATACTGCGTAATTTGAATCCACCGCGACTTTGCAACGGTACTCGACTTTCGGTAAAGAGACTTATGCCGAATTTAATTGAGGCAACCATTATTAACGGAAAGTACGCAGGTGAAAATGTATGTATTCCTCGAATACCAATGATTCCGACTGATCTTCCGTTTGACTTCAAACGATTGCAATTCCCAGTTCGCCTTGCGTTCGCAATGACAATTAATAAGTCGCAAGGCCAATCGCTTAGTGTTTGCGGGATAAATTTGGAAAATCATTGTTTTTCACATGGACAGTTATACGTTGCGTGTTCACGAGTTGGGAAACCATCCGCTTTGTTTGTGTTAACGTCAAACAAAAAAACAAAAAATGTGGTTTACCAAAGAGCACTACAATGAAACAATTAAATAACACTTCATTTTAGTAGGTAATTGAAATGAATTTATTACTGTTGTGAAATGAAATAAATATTTTCCTTTTCAAATATATAACAAAAAAATTTTTTTTCTTTATATTTTAATCACCAAACGAAAAAAAACATAAAACGAATCTGGTGGCGAAACGGAGTTCGCCGGGTCTGCTAGTAGTAATATATATATTATAGTAGGTATATAGTAATACCTTCATAAACATATTCGGTATCTTGTGGCGTATTATAAAGGCGTTCGGTTCGCTCGGTTTCACGCTTACTCTTCATACGCCATGTTTTTTACTCTATGCGTCACTCTGCAGTTAACGCCTTCCCTTGTTTTTTGCTGCTTTTTAGCTATATTAAAATATTAATATAGTCTGTCGATCACTCATAATAATATACCTATAATATACGTTGTGTATTGTGAAGTTTAAGCCCCCATCACATCGGTGGATGTGGAATGTTATTGGCGAATATGAAATACGGTATAGGATGTGTTTTTCGAAACATTGTCTAACCTCTAAAATTATTGTTTGACGCGCACGCAATGTTCTACTGAGTAAATACATTCAGTAGATTTTATTCTTTAGATATAACTACAAATTCTATGATATCCGAAATTAGTTAAATTTAAATTAATTATTAAGCATTTGAACTTTGAATTTAAGTATTTAACTGAATAATTTTGAACTTGAAGAAAAATACTTAACATACCTAACGTAAATTATTATGCATATCATATTACGTCAAATGCATAAAATTCGAATTTTTTTCAAATTTGGTTTTTAAATGATTTACAATGATTATGTTAAAAAAATATTTTCAAAAACTATTAACGTTTTAATTATAATACGAGTGTCTTATATGGATCACCCGGTATAGGCGCTGAACATATATATATATAAGTACGAAAAAGTAATAAAAGACACGCGCCGACCATACATTATATTATAATTTATATTCATATAATATTATCTATCATACCTATATCTGGGTATACGATTCGACGGACGACTAATGTTATCGGTTTTTGATGAAATCAATCGAAACTTGTTTTTAATACATGTTAATCTGCGTTTAATTATGCTTTTCAATTTCTCATACCTCGTTTGAACATTTTATTGTTTTTCTCAAATTAAGCAATAAAAGATTAATTGGATAGCAGGATTGGAGACTTGAACACAAATGATATTATATAATATCTATTATAATATTGTCTATTTTCAATTACAGTCTAACAGTACTCTATTTATGTGTGGGAATTTGCCAAAAACGGGTTAATGTAGTCATGATTGGATGTTATCGAACCAAAATCAATAAATAATCAAAAATGTACCTATTACCTATAGGTAAAAATAATAATATATTAAAGGCATAATATTTATTCGATGGTATTAGTGTATTACTACAATATTACATATACGTACTGTGTTAAACTGAAAAGTATGTTACCTACTACAGATGAATGGAATAATAGAGACATAAAATCCTGGCAAATTTGAAGGTAAGTTAAATATTGATTTAATAATTGTATTGTTTTATCTTTCACAGTTTTTCGAACTATATTCAAAAAATCTATAGATATTATATTATTTATATTGTACTTACTGACTTGGTCATATAAAATTTACTTAAACATTTTAAATGGTTAAAATCAATATCAATCCATTGCATTGTCAAACTGATTTCCACCCTGCGAAGTGTTCCTGCAATTATTATTATGTATTTATTCTTACTCAAAATAATATCTAGAAAAAAGTTTTAATCAACCCTAAAAGTTCAAAACATTCTAAAATAGTGTTAATTATGAAGGGGTTTTTTATATTGTAGTAGTCAAAAAAGAGGAGAGGATATGAGTTATTATAAGTATTTCTTACGATTACGTTTATGAAAATATCAAATTCATACAATTAATGGTAAATTCAGTTGATTTATTCTGAATAAATTACATACATATATATTGCGTCTTTATAAAAATAAAAAAAAGTGAGTCTAATAATATTAAAACTTTTTAATTGTTCATCCAATATTATAATAATTAGGGTTACGAGTATTAAATATTAAATATGAATTTTCCCTTTGAAATATATCAAATTTGAAATGTTCACCCTTCTTGAAATATTGAAAAATATGTTTTATACATTTTTTTTTAAACTGTGTTTTTTGGTATGTTTCATAAAATTATCACTCGATGGTCATACTGATTAGTGATTTCATACCTAATTAGTGATTATAAATATTTAATTACGGATCTGGATATAGAGAAGATATTATAAAACCATTATAGATATATATCTAAGATAGATAATTATTATGTAATTTGTATAATATACTATAATATGTAAAAAATATTTCTATAATAGTTTTCATTAACACTTAATTAAGTAGAGTTAACTAATTGTACTTTATACTATAGTTTTAAATTAAAATCAATATTAAATATTTCATGAAAGTTTCCTGAAATATTTCAAAAAATAAATTTCACGAAATTTCAGAACCTCAATAATTATACATCATAATATTTACTTGTTTGCTTCCTGTAATAATATTATGTAAGGTTTTTTTTCCAAAGCATTTTCTATCATAATAGAAAACGAAAACAAATACATTATAATGCATTTTAGGCGTAGTGTAAGCTTAAATAAAAAAAAAAACACGGAAGCAGTATACGATTTCTTATGTCCATTTCATAGTCGATTTATGTGACAGGCAAATTGACTATGCATATGGACATTAGACACTCAAGCAGTGTATTATATTATACTGATTTGATGTTTAATTTCACTTAACGTACTACATATAAGTTTTCTGAAAACAGTTATTTTCCAATTTTATGCTTGTGTGTTCGGAGGCACTGTAATCTGTCGTTATCTCCTCGAGCCAGGCACTACCGTATCCGATAATCTAGATCCATAAATTGAGCTTAAAATATTTTCCGTCGTCAGTAATATAAGTAGTCTGCAGTATAGTCTATACACGTTTCGCAATAATTATAATAATATACAAACGTAAAGTAAATATTATATCATACAATATTAAGACGACGTAGTTATATGATTGCGACGATTCACACTAGATCTCCGTTATAGTCATAATATTATTATAATGAAATATATTCCAATGAATAAGGAGAATTTAAACAAATCGTAATATGCATAACTGAATTATACCTCATGTTATAATTATTTAAAATGCTCCTATTTTTATCAATGGTTGAATTAATTTTAATTATGATGTATAATATCTATTTCTATCTAATGTGTAACATTTATTGTAAAATCGGTAAATCTAATTTAAATTGTTAATATTTTGTTCTTAAAAGCCGTAAATGGGGTTAATTCAAATAAAATTAACATTATTATATATATATATATATGTACCCAATAAGCACGATAAACTATTTAACTTACGCATAGGAACTGAACTCGGGTGATCGCACATTTGAAAATTCCCTCTTAATAGTGTCACCGATGACCAATGTTGTCTCACTTGGATAATTTAATTTTAAACACAATTTTAAAAATCGTTTGTGTCACCATTTTTAGGTTTAGTGACGTGCACATATTTACTTGGATATCGTACTCCTAAGCAACGGTGCATCGTTTCAGGTTTGTAATCGATTTCTGGGAGACGTCTCTCCAAGTCACAGTGTATGAAATATTATCCTAAAGTAGAAAACAACATATTATATTGCTAATATAGTTATCATCCCATTGTAATAATAATATTCAATTTGATATGAATATATAAATATACATAATAATATGTATTTATTTGTATAGCTAATTATAAAGTGTTTCAATTTTTCGCTATAAGAAACATTCTATTATGTGTTATTTAATTATATGGAAAATAATTATGATTTATCTTGTGATCTCATCTGGTCACACTACAAAATTGCATTGCGGTCAAATCTCAAATTGTCGGTTGAAAATTTATTCTCATCATCGAAAACCGGTTGTAAATCCTATCCGAGTGGAACAATAACGTATTTATTTGAGAGCCCTTTTAAATCAATAATGATCGCACTTCGCGTGTCGGGGCCCGATCGTCGTTTGTTCAATACATTATCAATCATATTTATAACTATCGTCGACAGCGCCGACGGAAAATGTGATAGATTCCTAGCTAATAATATAATTTATTACATTTAGACGGGTACAATTTAATAATACATCCACGGTAGTAACGATATTTGAAATTATGTGAACTTTATATTATTATACTAGGTAGTAAAATATAAGTGTCTAATAATATGTGCACAAACTAAGGGCCGTTCTTATAATGTCCGGTTAAGTGTCGGTTAATGCTAACCGACTGATAGCAGATTT